ATTTCTTTATAACACATAAGTCAAAGAGGAAGTCTCAAGGAAAATTAGAAAATATTTTGAACTGAATAAAAGTAAAACATAGCATATAAAAATATGTAGGATGCAGGCAAAGCAATGTTCTAGAGGGAAATGTTTAGCTTTATATACTTATATCAGAAAAAAAGAAAGCTCTCAAATCAATGACCTCTGCTTCTACCTTAAGAAACTAAAAGAAAAAAAAAGTAAATCAAATCCAAAGCAAGAAGAAATAATAAAAATAAGAGCAAAAACAAATGAAATCGAAAATAAAAAAACAGTAGACAAAACCAGGCCTAAAGGAGTCCACTCTCACTTCCACTCCACATTTTACTGGAAATCTTACCTAGTGAAAAAAAGAGAAAAAGAAACAAATGGTATGCAGATTAGAAACCAAGAAGAAGAAGAAAAAAAAACAAACAGTAAGGTTATTTATGTAAAAAACCCCACAGAATCTATACAAACATTCCCGGAATACAACAACATCATAGAGCACAATTTCAGTATACAAAAAATAACTTATTTTTTATGTACTAGCAATGAACAATGGGAAATCAAAATTTTAAAAATACCATTAATAGTGCCAAACACACACACAAACACATATAAAGTTAAAAAAAATATGATCTATATGCTACACAAAAAATTATGAATTACTGGTGAAAAAGAAATCACAGAAGACCGAGATATGCCATATTCATTGTTTGGAAGACATTGTTAAGATGTCAGTTTTCCCCATATTGATCTATAATTCCAGTCCAATCAAAATCCAAGTTTTTTTTAAGATACTGACAAGCTCATTCTAAAATTTATACAGACAAATGAAAGAAGTTAGAACATCCAAAACAATCTTGAGAAAGAAGAACCAAATTTGGAAAACTCATCCTACCCGATTTCAAGACTTACTATAAAGTACTACTCTATACACACACACACTATATATCTATATATACACATATATAGATGTATATTATTTACAGTACTTTTTAATAGGTACTACATTGCTATAGTATGTACATATACTATAAAGCTATAAAGTACTTACTATAAAGCTATAAAGTATTATAAACAAGATGACGTGGTATTAAAACCAAAATGGACACACAGAAATCAATAGAACAGAGCGGAGTCCTGAAGTAGATCTACATAAATAGGCTTGATTGATTTTTTACAATGTACAATGGCAATTTAATGGAAAAGGATAGTCTTTTTATCAAATTGTGCTGGAAAACTTGGAGTTGTATGCAAAAAATGAACTTTGACCTATATCTCACACACTGAGTCACACACTGACTCAAAATGAGTCATAGATTTAAAAGTAAAATGCAGAAGAGATCATCTGGGAAAAATCTTGTGACTCTAATTTAGGCAAAGAATTCTTAGATATGACACCAAATGCACAATCAATTTTTTAAAAATTGATAAATTGAACTTAATCAAAATCAAACTTTTGCCCTGCCAAAGATACTAAGAGAATTAAAAGACAAACTATAGACTGGAAAAATATACTGGTAAGTTATATATCTGACAAGGGATTTATATTCAGAACATATAAAGAACTCTCAAAATTCGACAGTAAGAAACAACTATTTAAAAATGGGTAAAATATTTGAATAAACACTTAAACAAAGAACATGTATAAATGGCAAATAAACACATTAAAAGGTCCTCAATGCCATCAGTCACAAAGGCAATGGAAATTAAAACCACAATAAGATGCCATCATATCTATTAGAATGACTAAAATTTCTAAAACAAACAAATACCAAGTACCGGCAAGGACACTGAGCAACTATAATTTTTATAAATTGCTGGTAGGAATGCAAAATGATAGAACCATTTGGGAAAACCATTTGGAAGTCTCTCATAAAATTAAGCATACACTTACCACAGGACCCAGCAACCCCATTCATAAAGATAGAACTTATGTTTATACAAAAATAAACATGTGACAGTTCATAGCAGCTTTATTCAAAATCACCAAAACTGGAAACAACACAATCCTTCAATCGGCAAATGGATATGTTGTGATACAGCCATACAATGGAATACGACTCGGCAATGAAAAAGAATAAACTACTGATACACAAAAGAGATGACTCTAAAAGTGATACTTGAATGAAAGAAGCCAGACTCAAGTGGCTACATATACTGTGTAATTCCATTTATATAACATTCTAGAAAAAGCAGAACTGTAGGGATAGAGAACAGATGAGTGTGGTTTAAGAGCTGAAGATTGTATGACTGCAAAGGGACAGACAAAGGAAGTTTTTTGGAATGAAAACTGAAACATATCTTGATTGTGGTGGTAGTTACACAATTGTATGCAACTATCAAAACTCACAGACTTGTACATCAAAAAGTATGAATTTTACTGTATATTAAATAATTTTCCAAAAAGGCTAGGGTAATATTTTTAAAGGAAAAGGCAATCTGGAAATCTAAAAACAATAAAGGGACAGATAAACAACAAGGTCTCCAGAACAAGACCCATCATAAAAAGGGGCACTCAGCTGGGGATGAATTTCAAAGGCAAGACAAAAACCTAGTTATCCAAACTATTGAATAATGTCAGGAAGGTGAAAACGTTAAGCTACATATTGAGTATGCCTTTGGTCATGATTTAAATCTTAGAGTCTGAGACAATTATAACCATACAAGAGGATTCCACATCATAAATGAGGACAAAAAAGAGTTCAGAGGCTGACAATTAGGCAGAGTTTTAGTTTTTATTTATATTAGTACCTCTAAGTCAAAGGTTGTTAACATGGAATACCTAGATAGAGTTCCAGGAGTCCACGAAAGTAGACAGAACAAAAATTCATCTTTAATCTCACTAACCTCTAATTGAAATGCAGTATATTCCCTTAGGCTGTGAATGTATGCAACTAAGTGTGGTACATTAAATAGGACCTGCATCTTTATCACTCATAGAAATCACAGATTTTTCCTATCACATCATACTGCCATGGATCCCCTGCTATCTTATTTTGCATACATTAATAAAGAAATATTTATAAATTATATATCTGAGGGGTTTTAATATTTTGATAACTATATATATTGGTTTCCTTTAACTCTACATATTGGATTTTATACATTAAAAATACATTAAACTTTTCCAAATACAAATAAAATATTATTCTACAAAAGGGTTCATAGGCTTCCCCAAAGGGGTCTATGATAAATAAAAAGCAAAAAATCCCTGCTCTAAATTATCCTGCCCCCATCTCACAAAATACCCTTTTTCAGGGCCTCTAAAATCCTTCATAAATGAAGGGTCACTCTCTCCAATTATTTAATAGTATACACCAAAGACAGTGAAATGCAGTTTTTCAAGCAGTAATCATATTTGTTTAGGCTCACTGGATAGTAGAGTCCATACAAAATTATATTATATATATACACAAAGAAAGACCTTAGACGTAATACTACAAAGATGGATAAAATGTTCTTTCTGAAATTACACACTGGAATAACCTAAAAAAGTCAATCCACCTTATGTCTCAAAAAAAAAAAGGAATTTAAAGCATCTGAAAAATGATCTTGTTACTAAGAATATGTAGAGAAGGATAGGAAGTTTACTTTTGTTTTCTAAATCCTACACTGTGTACACATTGCAATATCTTGTCTACTCATTTAAAAAGTTTAAAATAAAAAAGGATCTCAAAACCTCAAAAAGCAACAATAACTAGATCGTAAAGGTTTCTAAAGTAATAAAGCTCTCTGATACGCTGGCTTAAGTAATAGCAAATTGCCAACCAAATAAGTTATAGCAGTCATGTAAACAACAGAAATGGCCAAACAGTAGGAGGGAGTGAGGAGATCTAAACTACAACAGCTATAAATTCAACTGTAGATGCAGAGACAACCAGACTTAAAAAAAAGAAAGAAAACTATAAAAGGAAGATGATCTGGTGAGAACCATGAGGGAAAAAAAAAGAAACATTCTTAGAGCAAAGTAAATATTACAATAAATATTACAAAAGTAATTCTATTACAAAGGCAATATCTACTTCCTATCAATAAAATGTACTAGTTAAAATTTTTTTCAGTAGAAATATATATCTTATTTTATAGCAACAACAAAGGACAAACAGAATTTGCTGTTCAATATTTCTTATTTGATGACAAAATAAAATGTATCCACATAAAACTATTCATTCACTTTCAATTTAACAATATTTCATTTTTATACATAAAATTACCATAATTTTAAAAAACTTTTTAACACAAATATAACATTCAATCTATACTAGTTTGCCGTATCTATCCATATCTTGAAAAATTGTTCCTATAAGCAGTCAAAATTATGACTCTTTAGATCATTTTTTCTGTATAGGATCATTATATAATCACCATGGGAAACTTATAAAATACAAAAACTTTTCTTTAAATAAAAAAAAACAGAATTCCCCATAATCTCACCAACTAAAAATAAGCATTATTACCATTTGATTTCTTCTACTGGTACTCTTATTACATCAGTAATAATGCTATTAATCAATATTTATTAGACACTTGCTTTGAGCTCTTAGCTAAAAGCTTTACAAATACTATTTCATTTTATCCTTACAACAATCCTATTCAAATAAGGAGGTAAATACTGCCATTTTACAGATATGTCAACGAAGAGTTTAAAGAGGTTAGGAAACATGCCTAGGGTCACAGAGGTAAGTGGTTAGACCTGAACCCAACATTCTAAATCACTATACCATACCACCATCAATGTACATATAGAGAATGCTGTATTCTACTCTAACATAATATCCTTTGTCATAAAAATTATAAATATAATTTTAGATGGCTATTTAATATAATAGCATGTGACATAATTTACTTATTCACTCCTCTACTAGATCAAATTATTTTTGCAAAGTATTTAGGATAGTGTGAGTCATTTAATATGAAAATAAAAACTAGATAAACCCAAGATTTGGCTTGTCTACTTCTAAATTTAAATTAAAATATATAATTCAACTTACTCTTTTACTGAGGCAAATAACTGGCCACATACTGCAACCTAATGTGCAGCAGCAACAAAGGCAGCCACAAAGTAGCCAACGTACATTAACAGGAAGGTTCTTCTTAAGACAACTGTTAACTCTGTTGATGCTGGCTTTAAATTCTTCAGGAGCTACCTAAAGAAAAATTTTAAGAAATAACAACACTGCAATATTAATGTCAATAAACATATCTCATTAGCATAAATTTTTTTTCTAATTTGTTAGGAAAAGATTTTAGTTTTGAGGCATATAAACAATACCTAAATAATTGACACTCACTTTTCCAGTTAATGAAGAAGGAAATTCTGATTCAAATTTGTTGCTCAGTCCAAATCTATTTTTTAAAAAAGAAGAAAAATAGGTTATTACATGTCATTTTTGCCAAAATATACCACTTAACTTAATCAAAGGATAAATAAATAGAGTGCAGCTTCCTATACAGAATATGGAAGTTTGAGACACAAACATTGTAATCAGCAATTTATGAAATATAGTAAGCAATTTTAGCAGCTGAATCAAAACTGTTATAGGAGGCTGAGAATACAGAAAGAAATTACTTCTTTGGTGCTGTTTGTGAGCCAAATATTAATGTAATGGAAAAACAACACATCTGTCAAATTTTGTCAAAATTACCAAGCTTCTGCCAATTTAGTAATATAAAGCCAAAATCTCTGCTATTGATCATTCTTTAGGTCAAGAGCATTTGTTAACATTCAGTAATGTGGTAACATGTAGATCAGCATATCTACACTGCTATCACAGCTAGAGAATGCTAAAAAACACCTGGAACAATGTGATAGCTGGCCTGGCTACTTAAACTTTCAAATACCAAGACATTTGCTATACATAGCCCCAAAGAAATGGAACTAAGGTAGTACATTTTAGCATTTTTAACCTTTTAAATGTCTGCAAAGATCATGAGAATTGACTGGGCACTTGACTACTTCTCGGCATAAGTTATTAGGAGGGAATAAAACATTCATATACACCCATTGGTAATACCAGATCGCACCCTGGAAATAAAACTGAAATGCTTTTATATGATGACTTTTATTCGATCCTAGAGCCAAAATTTCTTTTCCAGTTTTATTGAGATATGCTTGATATTTAACTTTGTATTAATTTAAGGTGTACAACATAGTGATTTGATACATGCATATATCCTGAAATGATTACCACAAGTTCAGTTAACATCCATCACCTCATACAGTTACAAATTTTTTTTCCTGTAAAGAAAACAAGAGTCTCTCTCTAAGCAACCCTTAAATACACAATACTGCACCTTAGGTAGCTGGCACTGGTAACGGGGATCCCCTGAGATACTGTGCATGAAACAGTTGGCCAGGTCAGCGGTTTCTAACTCAATCATTAGTGAAGTGGGGGGAAATCAAATAAGGTAGGCTGTGTGAAGGCATTAAGAGTGATGGAGCCTGACCAAGTGGAGGCCATACAGTTTGTGTGTATGTGTGTGTGTGCAGTGTCATGGCCAGATCCAGCCGATTACTGTCACACTAAAATGCAGGTCCACCTTTGACAGATTATATAATTTTTTTTGTTTGTTTCTAAGAGGAGCTGGAAAGCCAGATTTTTATGCAAAATAGAAAAAATACCTTTAAAATAGAAAAAATACCTGTGCAAGTCAATCACAACACTTCTGTGAGTCAGGCTGTTGTTTACATCATGATCTAGACTTTCCTACAACAAGCAAATGGACCATCTGAGACCATTTTATTATCATCTTAAAGTACCCTGAAAAATTATTTAATAGCAGCACTGAAATAACACTAATGTCTTTATAAACAATGGATACTATTTATGAAAAAGATGACAATGTAACCACCTAGATTCAAGCCAAAGTTCTTTTCACACTAAACATAAACTGGCAAGCATTACTGTTTACTATGATTCTGGCATTAATGACATTCTCTTTCTAAGACTGGAAGACTCTAAGCTAACCCAGTTTTTTTATCTGGGGGCCTCAGAGCAATGTGGTTGCACTTGAAAATGCCCCTACAGATAACTCACCTCCAACCTTCGAGGTCTTTATATAATTTGAGGTAATTTTGAACGTTCTTATAATATATACCTGGTACAACTTTGCAAAGGGACTGCAACTTTATACTTGAATATAAATGGAATCTTGAAATTGGCTTGTTTTACTCATATCCCACCTACTTCCATTTCACTGTGACCTCATTCCTAAATCTACAGCCAACATTCAAAAAGTAAGCCATGTTAATGTTAGCCTGCACTCTTATCTTCATCCAACTCAAAACCTCCCTTTCCTGACAGATCCTTCCTCTTCCAAACCCCCTTTAATATTTAACTTTGGAACCCCTAATCTATTGGTCTGCTACCTAAATATCTATTTGTATCTTCTCTTAAAAATTTTTTTTTCTTTCCTTTAACCAAAAATCCTGTTGAAACGACACTCTTTCCGTAGAAGTCCTCAATCATAGCTCATTCCATGGAGTCTATCTTCAGACTCCCATCTTCCAACTTCTCACAGCACTTGACTACATTCTCTCTTGTATAGTCCTTGTCAGATCTTACTATAATTATGTCATAAGCCTGACTCCCTATCCTGATAAACAATGAGTTGTTTATCGGTAGGCATGGTATCTTAATTATCTTGATACTCTAAATGTGTGGCCCAATGCCTGATAAATACTCAATAAATACTTGATAAATAAGTTAATTTCCAATCGAGAAGAAATGTGTACATTCCACTAATGCCTCATTGCAAACTTCCACACCACTGTTCTCTTTTCCTCTGACGAACAGGATTTCTATTTATACCACACTGTTCCAAGCCCCAACCCTCATTTTCAGCCTTCCAGGTCACTCACTTTGTGTTGGGGGTCCTCAAGACCACCCTCAGGTTTGATAATTCACTAAGAAGGACTAATAGGACTTAGCATATAATTATACTTACAGTTAGCTTTACTACAGCAAAAGAATACAAAGCAAAAATCAACAAAGGAAAAGGCATATCAATCAAAGTCCAGAGGAAACCAGGAGCAAGCTTGCAAGAGTCTCTTCTCCATGAAGACACAAGGGATGTGCTTAATTCCATCAGCAATGTAGTTTTGACAACATGTATATAAGAAAGTTCATTAGACAGTCAGTGCCCAAAGTTCTTACCAAGGGCTCATCATGTAGGCCTCCTCTACTTAGCATGTACCCAATCTCCAGACTCTCAGAAGGAAAACAGGTATTCAGTATAAACTACATTGTTTGTACAGTTAAGGCACAGGGAGCCATTCTAATCAATTCTGGGATATTGGGAACTCTCCCAAATTTCAAGTTCCCAGACACCAGCCAAGAGCCAACACTGCAAGCAAGGCTTTCCACGGACAGCAGTCTCAAGCCTGCTATGTTAACTCTTTTATGCACACCTCCACCCTCTCTAAGGACACAGACATTCATGTCACAGGTTTTTTCTCTCTACAAGAACTCTTGACTTCATCCTAATTAATTCAATATTCAGCACCAGAACCTAACTAGTTAACCTGACTTAATCTATTCTGAGGAATTTCACTTCTACACAATTCACTATGAAGCAGTCTGAATATTGTCATCACTTGGAACTGTATCATCTCTGAAATCCTTAACTGTAATAAAATTCTCCTCTTACTACTACCATCAATCATTTCATTTCTCCTACTCTTAACAAATTTGTTTTGTTTTTGTCTGTGGTTGTAACCTACTCCTTACCACTCCTCTTTGCTTTTTCACTCCATATCTGCTCCATATGACTCTACTTCCTTCCTTTTCTGCCAGAACTACAGAGTCAATCATTTAACCATATTCTAACAAAACTCTTTATTCTCTGCATCTCTAGACTATCTCTCGTCAATCCAGTTCAATTGAAATGTTTACTTTCTTCACTTTAATCTCCACCACCTGGAGCTACAAGAGAACAATCTAGAAAAAATCAAATTATTTCTAACTTCAGTTAAATTAATGTTACAGTAATCTTTATTCTTTCCCAATCAGCTCCCTTTTCTACACTTCACTGTTGCTCCTCTATGAGCTCAGCCTTATCCTTACAATATACTTTTTTTGCAGATAACCATAGTCCTTAACTCCAACCAGAAGAAAAAAAGAGACCAATGAACATAACTTGCTATGCCTTCTCTCCATTTCATTTTTAGATTTACCTATGTCTTTAGTATCTTTACTATCTTTCTCAATGCAGACAAACTACCATTTGCTCCTGGTTGCATCTTCTTTAATCTCCTCTACAATCCACTTATTTCTTGTTCCTTACACACAGCCTACAAACCTGCATAAGTCTACCAGCCTGAGAATCTGAATGCCTATTTTTTTCTCCCTCAATGTATGATGGCATCCATCTCTTTTCCTTCCTCATCCAGTGTCTTGAAAGAGTCCTCTACATTCACTTTTTATCTCACCTCCCATTATTCAAACTACCATAATCCATGATTTAATCCACATTCTTTACTGATGAGACTGCTTTCAACAGAGTAGTTGAAAATAATTCTTTTTTAACAAATCCTACTTCATACAGCATGCTTTCTACTAGCAAAGAGCTTGGGTACCAGAGTGGAGAATGTTCAAACCTAATATACCAGACTTCCTTTGCTATGTCTTCACCTCTGCCAAAGCCTTTTTTTTTTTTTTAATGTATTCTAGGCAAACCAAAGCAACACTGTCAAAGTTTTAGTAAGACCATCTTTTTTTATGAAATAGATAAGAAAAGCTACACTTTATGTCCATTAATATAACTATAAAATATCATCTTTAATGGTTTTGATGTGACATAAGTTTATTTAGATACTACTTTAGTTCCAGTTCAGGGGAGGTGGTTTTGTTTTTTTAAGTTTGGCAGGAGGTAGGGTTTGTTAACAATAAAAATGAGATACATATTTCAGTTTAAGTTGATAGCCATCATAAATTACTCCTTTTATCCATTATGCTCCTTCAAGTTAAAGGTTTTTAAATAAAAAATAATTTACTTTTTTCTAAGTACAATTGGCCCTGGACAGTATTGAAAATACCAACTTTCTTAAAATAGTAACTTGATATGTTTGAAAGAAGAGCAATGGGTAGGAAGCTGAACTCTCTTCAAACCTAATAACCTAACATTCTATTAATCCAAAAAGCTAAAAGTAGCACTTATTAATTTTAAAAGATATAATTAAAGGTGAGTGGCATCTTTAGTTATCTACAAAAACTAATAAATGAAATAAAACCAAAACAATGTATGCTGGCAAGAAAGTATTAAGATGGAAAATAATCATGTACTTAAGTGGAACTATAAATTATTACAACCATTCTAGAAATCAATTTGGCACTAAAAATATTTAT